TGGAAAAAAGAAGAACTTGAAGAAGTACAGTTCTCTTATGGATATTAAGAACAAAGTATTATCGAAAGCGGAGAGAAAAAGAAGAGATCGGGCGCTAAAGAGATTAAAAGTGAAGAAGTTTGATCTTATCTTCTCTGAATTATTAAGGAGATCGCTTTCTGATTCTGATCTAAAGAAAAGACTTTCTGATTCTGATCTAAAGAAAAGACGAGCTGATACAAATATTGAAGCGAAGAAGACACTGGCTCTAGGTAAGGTTCTCGGTATTAAATTTGTTGGTTCTGAAAATGAGGTTATTAAGGATTTAGTGTCATTAGAACTATGTTGAGGTTGGTGTGTGAGTGTTAGGGGTTGCAGAGCGTCTAAAGTTTTTGGTTTTTGTGGTTAGATGTGGCTTTTAGAGGAATGGAGGTGATAAGTAAAAGGTTCTTAGTGAAAGGATATTAGTTGATTGATTATTTTAGTCTGTCTTGTTGTGTGTCTTGATTAAAGAATCTGCTAATGTTGAGTTCGTAGTTAGGAGTTGGTGGAATGATGATAAGTGCGTAATTTTGGATGTCGAGGTGACTAAGGTGGAATTCTTTGATTGTTTGATCTTTGCAATGTTCTTGAGATAGACGGAGTATGGATGGACTAGATTCACTGAATATTTGGATTTCAAGATTTACTTGTTTGAATATAGGGAGAATTGTAGTATTACAGGAGACTCGATGGGGGCCAATGTTTGATCATTTTGGGCTGCTTAAGGGGAGTCAATCATGGTTTAGGTTCACAAAATAGTGTTTTTCTATTCAATGCAATGCAAAGCGAGGATCGAGTTTTGGGATGGATGATTGTGTGTTACATTGGTTTCTTTATTCATGCTAACAGAAATATCTAGTATGAAATTGTCATCTTCAATGTAGGATTTAAAGTTCTGGTCCTTTGTTGTGGAGGTCAATTGGATTGGTTCTGCTTTAAGTTTACTGTTGGTTTCTCCATTGTTTTGTTGCAGAATCAAATCTTCTTCAAGCACCTTGTATGGTTATTCGATATGGTGGTAGCGGCTATATTTTTGTTGACGATACATGAGGGGCTGGTGACGAGACAGACAGTGCTTTGATTGGTTTTAGTTTTTACTACTTTGATGATTGTAATGGTGTAATGTTTTGAGCTGTGTGTTCTGGTTATTATTTTGGTTTGCAGTGCTTGTTTTTGTTCTCTTATGTAGAACTCTTTTCCTCCAACTTTTTGGGAGGTTTTTAATGAGGCTCATAAGTTGAATTTCGTTATACTGTTATAATGAAATAAATTGTTCTTTGCTGAGCAAAAAAAAAAATCTTGATATAGATTACACTCACCTAATCCGAGTTTACAATATTCCTTAGATGTTCGAGTAGATCCGATTTCCCCATTTTCTCTATGATTCTACCAAATTCTTGCTCTTAAAAGTAAATACACACAATATAACAAAAATTAATTCACCAAAATCATAGTTAAAGCTAAAACAAACAAACATGAATCCCTAACTTATTTTAGGGTTTAGAGACTTTCACGTCTTGCTTGAAACAAAGAATAAATGATATCAAATTGAAGAGCAAGGTGTGGGTTTTTAGAATAAATGATATCAAAATTGAAAGTGGGTGGAGGAAAAATAATGGCACATATTAGTTAATATTTGATTTAATATCATTTAGGAACTTGATGAAATTTTCCACTACCGTACATATTGGTAATTAACTATATTCAATGATATATACCTCAAACATTTGATTAAGTTGTCATTTTGACTTTTATTCTTCTTCTTTTTTTTTTTAGTATTTTGATCTTAATATTTATTTTAGAGAAAATTGTCCATATTATTTGACTAACTAGTTACTTTAGCTTTTAATTTATTTTTTATTTTTTCTTTTTATTTTGGAGTATTTTGGCATTCAACGCTTTATCTTAGGATAAAAGGTCTTTATCTGGAAATATTGACCGTTTGTTAACTAGCACGAACCAATACATATCATGATAAAATAACTTGTTATTTGAAACATTTTCTTATCATTATGCCTATTAAATATGGGGAGGCTATACTAGTATAGGATTAACCACTAGACTCGTAAAGGCTAAAAGTGATAGTTACGTATCACCCCATCGTATATGAGATTATTTATGAGACTCAAATTTTAATGATTACCAACCCATGTTACCATATATGAACAAAATGGACCAAAAGTAAGCCTTCCCCCGCACCCATATTGTCTATGTAACAACAAAAGCTTGCTTGGGGTGATCATCTCTCTCTATTTTACTATCAAATCTTAAACAAAACATGAATCGCTTTCAACTTTGCTCCCTTGTTGTTATTATCCTCCTCCTCTCCAATCCCAGTATTGAAGCAGCACCAAATCGGAGAAACCCTACGACCAAAGGCAGCAGACCAGTCAGCCCTGGTTGTCACCGGATTCTAAATCCACCATGGTCAGCCCCAGTCAAGCAATTGGAGGAGAAACGAAGAGTCCCAACAGGCTCAAACCCATTACACAACAAGCGATGACACTTCAAAACCAGAAGCCTAGCTCATAAGAATTCGACTTCAGATATCATCTAATCTTTCTTTCCTTTTTAATCTTTTTCCCTGTTGCAGTTATATAGGAACACCTAGAGATACTGTATGTATAGCAATTAAAGATGAAGGTTGTGTCTTTTCTTTTCTCTTTCGAATCAACACACATCTTAATTTATTAACAATCCATAAATACCCTACAAATACAACTACTCAAACCTGAGAATTTCTATGAATAGCAAAACTCTCTTTACCACTAAATCCGTTCCAGTGTTTCTTAAGATATCTATTTAGACCAAGTAAACGAGATCATGTAATAATCATATAGGCATACATGTATGTATGCATGTATGTATAGCAGGTAAAGATGAATGTTGTGTCTTTTCTCTCTTTTTCGAATCAACACATCTTGCATGTATTTGTTAAGATATTTTCTTAGTTTATTAACAATGCACACATCCCTACAGATGCATCTATAAATTTCTATAGAGAATAAAATTCTTTTTACCACCGAATCCGTTCCAGGGTTTTCTTAGATATCTATTCAGACTAAGTAAATGGGATCATGTAATAATCATATAGGCATATATCTATGTATGTATGTATGAATGAATAAATGTGTGTGAAAGTAGTTTTGTGCATAGGATAAGGAATATTGGAGGAGCTGGGGATTGCTGAAAAACAAGGTACTTCCAAAGACTAGTAGAAAGGGTTCATTTGTTTCAAACCAAATTTGTGAACCCTATTGCTTTCCCATGGGTTCTCTAGGAAATTACACTCAAAGACGGAATATTGCAGCTTTATCTACCCATCATCATCATCCTCGTTATCACACTTTTCTTGGCACTGAATGCAATTCTGATTTGGAACTCAAAGTTATGGTTTAAACCCCAATATTTTAATAGATTATGGGGTAAAATACATTTCAAATTATTCAATTATTAGTTAGTTTATAAATGGGTTAATTTTTTCTCTCGGCATATTAATTTAGATATTAGTTCATGTGGTTATAGTCATGCATGCATTTGTAATAAAATGTTTACTTTTGGTTGAAAATTTAAAGTAATAATATTTTATTTAGATGATTCATGTGATAGTCTTCAAAATAGTTAGAGCATGATTCTTTTAGTTATTTTATTGGTGGTCTTTTTGTAGTTAAATCTCTTGTTGTAGTTTGTTTGTAGTAGCGGTTAGATCTGTTTATATTTATTCATTGTTCGAGTTTTTTGGATGACTTTTTTTACCTTTTTATTGTATGATCCTTAAATAATCTTAAGTGGTTAATTTTTGGTGTTAATGGTTATAGAAGAATACCTTAATTACATATTTTGTTTACGAATCTAATTATAAACTCTTATTGTAATTTTAAATATTTTTTCTTTCTTAATAAAATTATCTGCTTTTATTTTTGCCGAAATAATTATATCATTATTGGTTTATATAGTTTGAAATTCTCGTGTCTAATATTCTTGTTCGACATACTTTATGTTATAAAGATGTAATTTTTAACCACTAGCTCTATGAAAAAGAGTTATGAACCCACGACCTAAAAAAGAGGAAAAATATCAACTGAGAACTTTTATCCACTTACTCTATAAATTATCGATGATTGAAGTTAACTTTCACACAAATATAAAGATTAATTTAATAAAATTATAAGAGTTGATAGTTAGATTTTATTAACATACCTATATTAATTAATAATTTTGCCTGATTTCAGTTATGCAACTTTAGTTCATTATATATATATTTTTTAATAATCTGGACGATTATAAGGTAGTATATGTTTATAATTTTCTTGACCTAGTGATAACACACACACCTTGTAGAAGCGGCTGTTAGAATCCAAAACCTCTAAAGTGATCTTTCCTTTAATCACTGAGATCACTTGATGAGTTTTGATTCATTATATTGTTATATTTTTTGTTCTCAGTCTCAATTATTCAGCATTACCAACGTCACAAGATTCCATTGGTTACATATCGTTCAACTTATTTTATTTAATCTGCCTATATTTATTTATTTTTAAAATCTTACCATCTTCATATTCATTGAATAAAAAATATCAATAAAGTTGCTTCTTCGTTAAGATAATATAATAAGTTTCTCTTCTTCTTTAGTTAATATATTCTCCCTCTTAGTTGAGTTTTAGATAAGATCATGTTGGAGGAAGTTGGCTCTTCCTTCCCTCTTTAGTCAAGTCAATGAACACTAACCTAATATATATGTTTAAATAACTTTTTGATTTCTTCAATCTCATAGTTAACGAGTTTGTTTATTGTTATGACGAAATTTGATGTCGATCCTTTAAACTAGTCAATCACTGATTTTTTTTTTTGAGTTTGAAGGCTACATTCAGTTAAAAATCGAGGGTTACATTGATTTTTTGGAAAAATTTGAGGGCCTCACATGCCATTAAGTCTTATATATAAATATATATAGATATAAGATACCAATTTGGGTTTTGTATCAAGATAAGGTTCCATGGCTTCTTCCAAGTTTCAGGCGTTCTATAACCATCCAGCAGGGCCAAAAACTAGTTTGTTCCTTCTTCCTTTCAACCCTTTTAGGTTAATTGTGTTTGATTTCACAGTTTTCTAATTATTTTTTAATCTGCCTTCTGTTCCAATATAATTACAAATTTACAGTTTTCTTCTGGGCACCAACCTTCAAATGGGCTATAAACATCGCCAACGTTGTTGACATGTCCACGAAGCCGGCCGAAACTGTCTCTTACCCTACACAAGCAGGTCTCATCTTATTCCGATTACTCCCCCTTTTTTTTTCTTATCTTTATCTACTTTTCTATTCATCCTCGCCTCGTCGATCGAGATACCTAAACTCGAATATGAATGTCAAACACATATATATATATATCTGCTACGAGCAGGGATGGATCGAGAGGGTATTTTCCCTCTGAAAATTTTAAATTCTCATATATTTTTTTTATATTTTTAAGCATAATATCAAAATATGCTCTTAACGTTTACTTAAATAGTCAATTTGGATCATGTTATTTCTCTTTTGAGCATTTCGGTCTCAACATTTTATATTGTGGTTGGGGCAAAAAGACCCCTTTATAGATGAAAACTATTACAGCTAAGGCTCCAAAAATAGGTGTTTTTTATCGTAAAATGAAATATCACTAGTCAAAATGTTTTATAAAAAACAGTAAAGGTCAAAGTGATTATTCGATTAAACGTTAGAACTCTTTTTGCCCTAAAATAAAATGTTGTGGTCAAAGTGCTTCGAAAAAAGAATGAGTCAAAATGAGCATTTCGGTAAACATTAGGACTAATTTTAGTATTATGCTTTACTTTTTATTGATAATCTAATTTCGCATATCTTATATTTTTAACATAAAATCCTACACACATCCATATTACAGAGTATATTTGAATATCTTACAGGTTTTCTACATGAAGGCTCATATTGTTTGTTTGTTTGACTCTCTATTTGTATGGGGATTTTTTTTTTCAGCTCTAGCATGCAGTGGACTTATCTGGGCAAAGTACAGCACTGTAATTACCCCTGTATGTATATGTTGGATTTCAAAGTTGACATAATGCCAAAAATAGCCCCCAACGTTTATCAAAATGATCATTTTAGTCCATATTCTTCTTTTTGGAGCATTTTAACTCCTATAGTTTCACTTTGAGGCAAAAAGCTCCATCTATAGATAAAAATTATTGGATAACACACGATTAACACTCCAAAATAGGAGTCTTTTTAACCTAAAATGAAACATTGAGGGCTAAAATATCCCATAAAAAAATTAAGAGACAAAATGATTATTATGTCAAATGTTACGGATCTTTTTACCCTAAAATGAAACATTAGAGGATCATTTTGACAAACGTTGGGGATTAATTTTGACATTATGCCTTCAAAATTTTGAAGAAAAAATTGCATTTCATATACCAAAATGATGCTCTGCATATAAATGGATAGATACAAAAATTTATCCTTTTTGGGGTCTTTTTAAGATCAAATTTTCCTACTTTTCAAATCATCATTGATTCTGATAATGTTGCAGAAGAATTGGAACTTATTCGGTGTTAGTGTTGCTATGTGTGCAACTGCTTCTTACCAGATTTCACGTAAATTGCAGTAAGTTTCCACTTCCATTATTTTGAGAAAAAGAAGAAGCAAACTGAGTTGTGATAAAGATTTTTACTGTAAAATATGTTTCAGATATGAGTTCATCAAGAAATCGAACGATGCGAAAAAAACATTGAAGACAATATAGAGTCCGTTTGGGTCACAGAATGTAAGAATAATCTGATAACATTATTCTCAGAATCAAATATTATGATATATTGCTGAAAAATTTATGCAAATTTATCTGGCTTATTCAGTGGGAATTTAAGATTAAAAATTTTATGAAAGCAAATTTTACTAAATTATTATTATTATTACAATATATTTTCTTTTTTAATAATTTAGACTTCTAATGATATGTTAAAATATATGTATGAATGTACAAAAGTTATTTTCATTACCTTATCTAAACTTTATAAAAACTTATCTTTTACCTATTATTAATATAATTAGTATATTAAATAATGTTTAATTATATATATGTATTGTTTTTGTTTTTATAATAGTAGATAATATGACTTAAAGTTGATTTTTAATGATTATAACTTAAAGTTGATTTTTTTAATGATTAAAAATAGATGTTTTATTTTCTTAATGATCCAGATTAGTCGATCAATAGATCGAAAACTGGTGGTTATAAAAAAATATATATATGTTTTTTTAACTCCTAGAGAATCTAGAAGTAAAGTAATCCTAAAATATTAAGTTTTAACATGTTTATTATCGAATCAAATTTACGTGAATTTATACAATTTATGACCACTTCATTATCAGTTTTAAATAATTGAATATTGATTGTTAACATTAATTTAAATTATTATTATTTTGTTATTAGTGCATTTCGAGAACATTTGAACCTTTTGAAAATTAATGTGTTTTGGATTTTAAATGTTTAAACTAGGGTTTTGATATGTAATTTGAATTTTTGGATTAATTGAATTTAGGTCCCTTTAATTATTTTGGTTAGTTATTTGACCCATTTTCTTTTTTATTTTAATTAATGTATTAAATTATTTATCACTATTACTATTATAATTATAAAATAATATAAAAAGGCCCATTAGCATTTAATGTTGATGGACAACCTCCTATTGGACCCATCTCATCGACAAATTACTTCTGGGTTTTTGATTTTGGTTTTTTTAAAAGAACGATCCCGGTTCAATGTCGAAAAGCGAAACGAAGAAAAGAGTACCCATAAACTATAATTAAATTTAAACCGTTTATTTTTATATAATATGTGGGGGTAAACTTGAGTATATTGGGGGATTATGTTGTATGGCGGATTAGGATGTGACTAAACCATAACGAAAATAAGCGCAACCTAAAATATTATAAAATAAATATAATATTTTAAGTTGAGCGAAACATAAAATTTAAACATTTTTTTATAATTTTTGATAAAATCTAAAATATCATCTTTATAATATTTTCTGTTGGTAATAAAAAATATTATAAAAATACTACATTTTAAATTACGTCTAATCTAAAAGGATATATTAAATTCAAAAAGAAACACGACGAGTCACCATAAAAGAATTAAAATATTTACAAAAGAAATAAAAGAAAAAATACTCGGTCAAGAAAAGAGGCTCCAATCTTTACAAAACATTAATGGTCTGTACATGTTACACCCTCTTTTTTTCTTCATTTCATTTGAACAAAAGGAGTGGACAATATTACAGCGTACAGTTTAAGGTCATGCAGGTTGTAAGTATTGCTTAGAAATTTCAAATTAATTTCCCATACTTTTTGACTCCGCAAAGTCAATGTTTGAATTGTGCAAGTGGGAGGGGAGAAGGTGGAATAAAAGAGAGAGAGAAAAGAGGAAAGAGGAAGGAAGATGAAAAAAATTGAGAAAATATAAATCTTAACAAGTATTATTATATATTTTTTATCAATAATTTTAAGATTTTTTTATGAGTTAATAATTTATATTATGATATATTTTATTTATAGTTCATTTAAATAAATATCAAGTTGGATTCATTTAGATTTTGAATTCGAATGATTGTATCTATATAATGTTGTATATTGTCAATAATTAAAAAAAATATGAATAAATATTATTTTATACTCCTATTCAAATAAAATAAATATTAAGTATTCAATTAGAACTTAAATTTCATGATATAAGATTAAAATAAATAAAATTCTATTTTTTTTATAATTTACCTATCAAATATTTTTTTCTTAAATTATTTGTTTTCAGAGATTAATTAACATGTATGAAATAGATTGAACATTCGTTTTGTTTTCATGTTATTTGTGTATTCCATTATATTTTAATTTTGTTATAATATATTCGTTTGTTAATGAATTTAGGGGCGAAAAAAATCAACTCGACTCAAAAAATTGATTTTTACGATTCAAATTGATTTTGAGTTATAATTTCATTAACTCAACTCGAAAAAAATTTAATTTAAAATCGAGTTATAAAATAAAACTCGAATAACTCAAATTTTTTTAGTAATTAGTGAATTTATTTTCAAGTTTGAGTTGAGTCCCTCGATTCTGTATGATATATGTATATCACATATGAAAAAAATATGAAGAAATATATATGTATTGTATATGGTTATAAAAATCATTTAAATTTAAATCAAATAGTATCATAATATTATAAATATTTACAATTAAATTTAGAGAAAATAACCTCAGTGACCAAAAATCCCATATAATATACGATTTTAACCAACTTTTTCCGGATTTGCCAAAATGACCAACAAAATCGCAATGCGATCGCTAATTCGCAACGCGATCTCCATTATCGCAAATACGCGTTGCATTTTCGCAATGCGATAGTTGAAAATCGCGTTGCGATGGTCTACAGTATCGTTGCGATTTTCCCAATTCGCAATGCGAATAAGTAAATCGCAACGCGAATTGGGAAATTCGCAATGCGAATAAGTAAATCGCAACGCGAATTGAGAAAATCGCAATGCGATACTGACTATCGCAATGCGATAATAAAAAATCGCAACGAGATACTTACTTTCGCAACGCGATACTGACTTTCGCAACGCGATAATACATAATCGCAATGCGATTTTCAAAGCGCCATTAGTATCCTGGCCAAGTATTTTATTTTTAAATTCCAAACATGAATATAAATATATTGGAACACTGAACTGTCCACAGTATATCCCGTAATCGCAACTCATAACCTAAAACCTAAAATCACAACTCAGTCCCATCTCCATCTCTCACTCTCTCACCCATCTCCGACGAAATCCGTCCCCATCTCCGGCGAAATCCGTCTATCTAAATCTCTCAGAGCCACCCTAACAATCAGAAATGGAAAATCAACCAAATCAACCAACGAGGGTTAGTTTTTTAATTATTTTCTTTTTGAAATTTTTGCATTATTATTAGGTTTTTCATATTGAAATTGATGATAGGTTTACTGGTAATTTCAATAATAGATTAACCATTCACTTAGATTGCTTATTAAATCAACCAAGAATCGCAACGCGAAATGCAAATCGCAACGCGATTTTAGTTTCGCGTTGCGATTCTCTCGTTGCGATAGTCATTTTCGTGTTGCGATTTTCATTTTCAGAAACTATTCTTCTTCTGCAAATTGAAACTTGAATGAATTGCATTACTTCAACCAAAAAACAAAGACAAATACGAAATTCACAGTGTTGCATATTTAAGTTTGAAGAATAAACTACTACTATTTATGTTTATTATTGTTTTTGGTATATCTTCACAGTGTAGTTTTTGGTATATCTAATTTAGTATGTTTATTGTTTTTGTAGAACTTTTATTCGGCTCAATTGACCTTGAGAAATAAAGTCAGCCTGGCCAAAACAATTGCGTCGAAGCTTTCACCTGCACAAAGAAAAATGTTTGAGGATACATGCTTCGGGCCATGGCTGAAAGTACAACATCCCGGTGGAGATGCGATGTTGACACACCTGTTTCTTCAAACCATGACTAGAGATCTACCAGAGACTATACAACGTCGTGATGAAGAGATATGGTTTGATTTTCCACCGGCGTATACGTGTTTTGGGCGGGAGGAGTTTTGCTTAATCACCGGTCTACGCTTCGGACACGATGATGTAGGTCGGTACACTAGACACATTACCGCCCATCATGGCTATCCCGGGTTTTTCCTGAGCTGGAGAGGCCGAGTCTACACGTAGAAGACCTGACAAGATTTTTGAATAATAAAGATGGTTTTACTCGGATGGATGACGTCGACGTTGTCCGAGTATGCCTTCTAATTCTTTTGCATGCCGGCTTTTTAGGCAGAGAGGCCAGACAACCTATTCCAAATGATCTAATCAAATTGGTAGAAGACCTAAATGCGTGGAACCTGTTTCGTGGGGCTCGTATTTATGGAAAGCTACATGGAATAAGTTATGTCTGCCTTGGATGATCGAAAAAGTTTGCATGGCGATGGTTCCAAATACACTTTGACAGGCTTTATTTGGGCTTTTAAGGTAAGAATTTTTATATAATGTTTCCAAAATTATAAGTAATTATTTAACATTACTAATGTTGTTATTATATTGTTTGTAGATTTGGATATTTGAGGCCTTTCCCGCCATGAAGACATATGCAATAAAAACTTCAAATAATATCCCAGTGCTATTTCCTGGAAGAGGAAATGAACCTTGCAATGGGAAGATTTACTACGGTATACGACAATAAATAATGTAAGTTAACATAAATACTACCATATGTTTATAAACAAGTTATTACTATACACATTTAACTTTGTTTAAGCTTTTATATTGTTAGGAGGCCAACACTCCTCTACAGAGGCTGACACCCACGGAAGCTGAGCTTGCCACTGATTGGTGGCAAGCTAGTAAGCGTTTTTTTGATGGAACGATTGATGAGCAGCCTCCACTTCGGGAGCCATCACCTCGCCCAGAGCTATCACCTCACCTAGAGCCATCATCGATCCCGGCTATACACCTCCACAACGACAGCCATCACCTATTCTTTCACATCATCGAGCCTCTTCTCCACCATCACCGCAAGATAGGCGACCGGCAAAGAGTCACGACGTTTATCTCCCTGTTCTCCCCTCCACCTCAACGGGATGAGTTAGGGGAGTTACGTGATGAGGTCAATGCCTTGCGTGAGGAGGTCGGTACTTTACGCAAAGACGATGGTGCATGGCGTGTTGAGGTGTCTACATTACGCGGTGAGGTAGCCGCTCTACGTGAGATG